ATCCATATGGGTCCTTTTTAAAGGAAAAGGATGGGGTGAAAATATTTTAAATAAAGAAATAGATCTGCAGCTTTTTAAGATTCAGAAACTCAATCTTGGCAGTGGATCAGATCTCCCTGTAGAAAGCCTCTACTGTGTGTTAGCATACTGTACAGTGTGCAGAAGGTGAAGTAGGAAAATACTTGGCACCAGTGTAAGCATATGCCAGTTTTATCTTCCGCAGTGTGGGTAGCAAGGTGATTTGTGTGATCTCTTGTCAAGTAGGAAACAGATTTTTATTTATTTATTTATTTTGCTTGGTACCTGAGAGAAGGCGGCAAAGTCTCATTTCAGTTTGGTGCTGCTTTTAAGGGGCAGGTTATCAAGTGGGAAGAGGTGAAAGACTTTCATCTTAGTTGATTCTAGCCAACCATTTTCACAGTATGGCAGTTCTTCACACATTTGCAGAGAACATGCCATAAATGCTACATGCCAGGGTTGTACCAGTGGGTGATAATCACAGCAGGCACATCTTGAGGTCAGGGCTCTAGGGAAAATCGTTTCATCCTAATTGTAGATGAAATCAACACCTGTGCAAATATGTTATTGGGGAACACAATAAGTTCTCTCCTGTAATCAGTTTATATATGCTACAACCATGGCCCGATGGCTATTTTAATTGTATTTTAATTACTTTATCTTTTACTGTATTGAATTTTAATTGTTGTAAGCCGCCCAGAGACCTCTGGATAGTGTGGGTGGCATATAAATTAAATAAATAAAATAAATAAAATAAACCATGCTAAGAGAAGATCTTCTAGCTTCCTCTGTCTCTTGTTATGTTCTGCACAGTTTGAGCACTGGGTTTGAAGAAGGGTTCTGTTCACATGTAAATCTGCACATATGTAGAGGCTACATATGAGCAGCAGTATTTTCTCCTGAGACTGACTGCTTGAGGTGTGGGGGAAAAGCAACAGAGGGGCTTAAGGCTAGGCATTCCCCTTGAAATGTGGTCACAGGGCAGAGTATAACAATGCCCAAATAGGGCTTTAATCTTTTACATACTACAAAAACCTTTTGTTCTTTTGCTGCAGCAGACAAATATGGTTAGCCCTCTGGAAATAACACATTGTTTGTTTGTAGACTGCATTCAGAATTTGCTTAATATGGTTTAATATTCTGTGTCTAGTTCTAACCAAAATTGTGGACTAGATGTCTCCCAAAGACAGCTTTTTTATGACATCATTATTTAGCTGATTTTCCCCCTGCCTAAAAGTTTTACCTAAGCAGAGTTTGCTGGCTGAAAATGGTGCTAGCTTGGAATAGCCCACTGGGGGTAAGGAAAAGCATATTTTTCCACATTTAAAAAGCTTTCCTTAACCTCCATTTCTCCTTTCATCATTTCTCCTCTCATATAGAATTTACTGTCATAACAGGCAAGGTGGCATCCTATATTGTGGAATGGAAGAAAATTTGGATCTGTGAGTGGAGCAGCCCCTTGTAAATGAGGGCCAGTGAAGAGCAACATCCGTAAGAATGTGTGCATGATTAGCTTACTGGTGCCTTGCCTTGCTGCTGATAGGATAGGCGCATGAGACACACCATTGTAGGACTTTGAAAGAAGCGGAAACAGAAATGAAACTGTGGGATCTTTCAGATTCCTAGTGGGGAACAGAGGAGCAACAAGTACACGTGTGAATTACTGAAAACTTCAAAGTTTTATCCAAAGAGACTTTCTTATCTCACTGCCTACACAATGCACGCAATACTTTTATTAGCATCTTCCACAGTAATCCCAGCAAAACTGAAGGGGGAAGTAAAAGTGTCAGATCAAAAGGGGGAGTTTGAAAGAAGGCGGTTAAGCAGGTTGCTAGGATTCTAATGATTGCTTCCTTCATTCTCTGGATGTCACATGCAACATCTCTAAGCCCGACGAGAGCATAAGCCACACAAATAGCCATATTTGTTAACATTCATATGACTCTTTCGTCTGAGCTGTATTTCCTTGAGTACATCACAATGAAGAGTTTCTTTTAATGGGGATCAACAGGGAAAAAACAACTGTGAGGGACTTTTCTCTCTCTCTCTCTCTCTCTCTTTTTCTCTC